ATATGAGTCAAATGGGTCAAAAAAATCAGATTTGGGTCAGATTTGCCTGCAGTGTGAACATAGCCAAAGGTAAGTTTTGATGCATGAAATAATTTTAACACCAAATAACTGAGTGTAAAAGAGCTGGAAACTCAGAGAAGATGATCAGCTGAATGACAGTTAATCTCTCAGGTCCTCATTCAGGTCTTTAATGGATTTCCTTGTTGCTTAAAGACACCTCCTGAAGTCTCACAGCATGCTGTCATGGTCTGAAGTAAAAAAATAATAATTCTAAAAAGCAGCCAAAGTTTAAAGAAAATTTTTAAAACCCTTCAGAAGTTTAAACTATTGATCGTGACCACTTTTAACGACTGCAGAAAACTCATGAAAGGAAAAAAAAAATCAGAATATTCTGAAATTTCTCCACAGCTCTGTTGACATGTGACTGGATTATTATCAGACCTGTGGTTGATCAGCTCCACACTTCCATACTGCTCAATCCACAGCTGACCTACGATGATGTTGTGAACACAACATGTTGGGTTTGTCCATGTGTAGGCTTCATTGTGCCTGAAGGAAGGAAAAACAAACATGTCATAGACACAGCTAAAGAAACTTTGATTCAGCTGAGAATTTATTTTACAGCCTCCAATTCCAGTTCCAACACAGCTGTGAACAACAAAATGCAATGCTTTGCATATTTCATGAATCTGAAGGAATTTATTAGTTAGATACTGATTTGAAGCACCACACCAGTTGTCTTAGTTTCCTTTTTAAGGCTTGACTTTTATAATCTATTGTTTGACTATWGTAATGTCCTGATTAAAATAGTTGTAGTTACATGTCCAAAACATCTTGACAACAYGTAGATAAACCGTTATAAATTCATTAGGAAAGATATTTTCTGTACGAGTGCCTGCGATTCAGCCGTAGGCCTGTAGTGGGCGCACCAGGCACTGAAGATCCCTGTATTTAAAGACCAGAACTTCCGGTTTTGAGCAGCGCTGCTTGAGCAATATAGCTTCGCTCAGAACCAGATCTGGGGTGTATGGTTCAATTCTCTTCACATTTTAATCTATTCAATATTTTTGTGGTTTTGTCACTATTTCAGTTAATGAACGCTAAATTTTCTTACAAATCCATATTTATTCGCAACAGAATATAGTAAATAAAAATGTTTAAAGTAAAAAAAATTAGACTACATCATCCAGAGGTTCTTACTTGGGCAGTTCCAGGGTGATGACACCTTTTGGCTCAGCTTCTACACTCTTTCCCCAGAACTTGAGTTTAGGGTAGATGGATCCATGAAAAACAAAGTCCTGCTTCAGGCCCTCGGCGTGGAAGGCGCTGACTGGAGGGTGGTGGCTCACCTGCTCCGATATGAGCCTGAAACCCAGATCCTCTCTGTGGAATACAAACAAAACCAGAACAACCGAATGAAACCGCAACGCAAGCAAGCAAAGCAAAGAAAACAAAACCAGGCAAAGTAAAGAAAAACCAAGGCAAGGCAAATCTAGGCCTGTCGCGATAGACAATAAATCAATTAATTGCACGATAACTTTTTTTGAGGTCGGTAAAAAAAAAGACGGCGATAAGTTTCATTTTCCTGCTTGTTTGTTTACTTCGTCTCTCTCCCTCTCTGTGCTCCGCTGCACAGGAGCTCAGCTGACCCCTCCCCTCCTGTTTTCTTATGGCTCGTTCACACCGAGAGCGTTTTGAGC